CACATGTCAATTGAGTTGAAAATCTTCTTCTGACTTGCCACATTTCTTTTATATCTGCATCATCCTCCAAATTGCATGCTTGGTATTGTGGTGGATTTATGCATGTAGGATATCTATATACTAGATTTGTCACCATTTGACTGGGAGGAAGTCGTAACTTTTGTCCAATAACTTGCTTCAATTTGTCCAATGTAATATTTTCATCAACTTTGATTATTTTCACGCTGTTGGACTCAAATTGTACCGGCTTGGCCATTATAAATTCGTCCATTTGCAAATATACATATGAACTCCTTTCTATGATCCATTCTATTTCCTAAATATTGCATTATAATCATTAATTAAGTACAACTGGGAGAAGACAAAACTTTGAAAATAGAAAGACTCAGAAATCATCGTTTCCTATGCATAGTTCGTATAGGTTTAAGTCTAGTGCTAAAAAAATTATTCATATATATATGTATTATAATTCTATTTTGATTCATTCTGTACCTTTTAATTAAATTTCTAATAGTTTTAAAAGTAATATCAAATCTATGTATACTATAGATTCTTAAAAATTAAATTTTTTATGATATTCATTTTTATTAATGAAAAAGGTTTAACAAAATATTGCCACCTATTTTCTTATTAATAAAAATTTACTTTTATATTATATTTTATTCTCATTATTTTATCCAAAATATTTAGTAAATAGGTAAAAATTATATTATTTTAAGAAAAAATTAGGGGGAAGGACCTAGAAAAATAATATTTATTGAGAAGGATATTAAAAATTATAATTATTTATAAGGACCAAATACTAAAATATAAATTTAAAATATTAAAGTACCCTTAACTAAATCCCTACATTTTTTTCTTATGATGCTTCCATTGAATAGATCTTTTTTATAATCTCCTTAACTTGTACTAAAAAATTTTATAATCTTTTTCTTATCAATATTTATAACAAAATTTATTGAAATCAAATCAAAATCATATTATTAAGCTAAAATATCTTACATATTTAAACACAATGAAATGAAATTATTCATTTACATGAACACCCTTAGCGAATAGTTAAATTTTATCTGTCTTTATTCTATTCTAATTGAAATTTTCTCTTGTTTTCAAACATCTCTTTTGTTACTTTTAATTTTATAAATTTTTTACCCCATATATATATTTTTATAAATATGTTTAAATGTAAATAAACATATTTTACTTGATTTCATTAAATACAATTTAAATTTTTATAATTATTTCTCTTAACCTTGGTTTTTTAAAACAATAAATAATTAAATGAATAAAATTATTCAGATTTATTTTTATATCTAAAATTTTTCATTTATTTTAATAATTTTTTAATTGTTAGTTACTTTAATACACACCTATCAAGATCGAGTAAAACAAAAAAATTATTAAAATTGATAGCAAATAAGGAATAATATGGGAAAAAAAGTTAAAGCTACGAATTTTTTTCTTATATATTCATTTAAAAAAATCATATACGTAAAAGATACTCCTCTAGTTTTATTTATAAGACAGAGAGAGTGTAAATTTTGATCCTATATATAAGGCACTTGATATAATTTTTAATACAAACATACATAATTATCCTTATTAAGTTATTTGCACAATTGGTACATTTTCTTTACTCCTTTATCCAGTGCTAAAGGTCCTTCAATTTTGTCTTCTTCTTATGCTATTATTCCCGCATGTTCCACTTCTTCTCTCTCTCTATTCATCCTTTCCACTATCCCCTACTCATTCCTTTTGTTATTAACCTCTTCTACTCTCTTTTTTTTTCCCTATGCCATAAGTTCTTTTCATGCATAACAGATCTGACTCTTGAAAAAAAAAATACTTGATGAAAATATACATTTTTGTGCTTGATTAGTGTTACTTTTATAATCAAATTATGAGATAGTGGATGTGAAATTATTTTAACGGTTTTTTAATCTGTGTGAAATATACTAAAAGTGCCTTATAAATAGGACTAAATGGGTAATAAAGATCAAAACAAAATCTTCAGATCTTAAAACTATACAATAGAGGATTCTTACCAGCAAAATAAGAGGCGCCTAAGAGTATAGATTTTTGAAATTGTTCAACCCACCACTTAGCACCTGGAGATTTAAAATAATAGTTTATCAAATAAAAAAATAAAGAAGAAAATCAAATTAAATATTATAATGACAAAATAAAAAATACATAAGAGAAATAACATACCCTCAGCAGTAGTAAAAGTATGTGTCGAATGTTTGGAAGTGAGAGTAGAGAAACAAGACAGCAAAGAATGGAGGAGGCTGGAGCAACTAATAAAACGAGAGAGTAAGATGATGAGAGAGAAGAGAGAAGTCTGAATACATGAAGTGGGAACACAAGCTACTGGCATAAGAGTAGAAGCAAAATATCTATGTAAAGCTCGGACGATTCAGACGCATTCATGGGCGTAAGAGGAGATGCAAAATATATAGCAAGCCACGATGCTACTGTAGCTTCACGGGCAAGGGAAATGAGATGACTTAATATTCTTAGTTTCAGACGCATGCAAAGAGTTCAGTTGCTTTTTTGACTTAATTTAGACGCAAAAGTGGCTCTGAGAGATTCGTACGGGAAGAATGCTTATACGCATGGAAATGGGGAGAAAAAGACAAAAGTACTTTTTCTAAAGTTCATCACTCAAAGATGAACTTCTAAAATTCATCTCCACTAAATGAATTTGCAAATTTTCCCACTTTATTGAAGAACTCGTTTTGGGCAAGATGAAGTTTATAAATTCATCTCTTGGTGATGAATTTCAAGTGTAGCATTTTGGTAATATCTTTCCGTGCTGTAGCATTTTGGTATTTTATTTTACTGTTTATAGCATGGGTAAAAAAGCCGGCCATGAAGTCCAAAGCATGCTTTTCGAGGAACGTTTGTTTCAATAGAGCTAGAGAACTCAGCCACAACTTGGGAGTTGGGATTATAACTGATTTAGGGAAATATCTAGGGGTTTCCCTGCTCCATAAAAGAGTGACAAAGGCTATGTATTTCCTTGTCATTCAGCGTGTTCGTGCCCGGCTGGCTTCTTGGAAGAGCAACTTTCTCTCAATGGCAGGACGATCAACACTTATTAAGTCAGTTATCTTCGTACTTCCAAGTTACTATATGTAGACAATGCTTCTTCCCAAATGTGTCCTTAAAGAAATAGAGAAAGCAAGCAGGAAGTTTTTATGGAACCAAAATCCGACAGGGCAGAAAATGCATTTAATCTTGTGGGACAGAATTAAACAGGATAAGATGAATGGAGGGCTAGGAATGAAAGATCTTCAAAGGCAGAATATCACTTTTATTATGAAGCTGTATTGGGGAATCCTTATTAAGCCTGGAGCACTGTGGGTGCAATGCTTGAGAAATAAATATAAATGTAGTGATGGAATGTACCCTGTGGTTTGCAAAAAACAGAATGCCTCAACAATTTGGAATAGCATCACAAAAGTGTGGGACCAATTCTATCAAGGTGTGGGGTGGCGCATTGAAAGCAGCAATCAAACCCACTTCTGGTGGGATCTATGGACACCGATAGAAATACCACTGATACACCTAGCAGGAAGAAATATAGCAAACATTACTCCTGGTGAAAAGGTGAGCCAATTCATCCTCCCTAACGGTCTTTGGAACATACATAGGTGGAGGGACTTCTTCCCATGAAGTTGTTGCAATGCTAGAGAAGATGAAGGTACCGAGTAGCAGTGAGGAAGACAAATTCAATTGGTGACCAGCTATTGATGGGAATTTCAGTGTTAAGACTGCCTACAATATGGTTTTCAAAAATGCTCACACAGATATTAGAGCTCAGTGGAAGACAATTTGGAAACTTCCGGTGCCAGAGAAAATGAAATTTTTCATTGGGCAAGCAATTCAAGAGAGACTTCCTACCAATGCACTTCAAAAACAAAGAGGCATCCAAACTAGTGAAGAGTGTCCTTTTGAGTGTTTAAGGGAGGAAAACACTTTACATATTCTAAGAGATTATGAAATTGCCAGAGAAGTCTGGATGAAGGAGAACCTTTCAAAAGGAGCGGGAAATACGTACTTCTCAAAGTGGATATGGGCCAAGGTCTCTACCACAACATGCTGGCTCATTTGGAAGAACAGATGCAGAGGTGTACTTGAAGGTTGACGATACTCAGCCAAGGAAGTTAGGCACACAATACTCTACTAGTTAATGGAGACTACGGAAAGAGAAAGACTACAGCACATAATTTTTAGTCCTACAGTGAATAGCGAAGAAACTTGGAGGCCCCCACCAGAAGGCTTTGTGAGACCTGACGTAGATGGCTTAGTTAGTCAAAGATACATCAAGTAGATGGTGCATAGGTTTTCAGAGACGACTGGGACTCCTCCCACTGACTGCGACTGAATTGATGGCCTTGCTAAAAGGTCTGCAGATGTATAAACAGCAAGGATTCAGCAAGATCATGGTTTTCATTGATTCTATAGAAGCCATTAGGCTGATTGAAACTGAAGGAGGAGCAAATCACTTTTTGCATACTGAGATAGCCGAGATCAAAGAACTAATCTATTCAGATTGGGATATTAGCATCAAATATGCACCAAGGAATGCACTCTAATATGCAAATCTAATGGCCAAAAAGGCACCACTCATATATGAAGAAATGGTCTATTAGCAAAACCCCCCATAGGAGTGCTTAACACGACTACAAGACGATATGGCTTTAGCTAATATGTCAGCTACAAACTATTAAATCAAGTTTTCTTGCCTTGTATTATTCAAGAAGAAGAAGAAGAAGGCGGAAGCTGCTAGCAAACTTTTTTGTGGGTTACTCCAGTGTGGGCAAGGGAAAGCTCAATCACTGGAGGCTTGAAACCGGAGTCTACCTGGACGATGATGAAGGCTATAATTCAAATATGGATGGTGGATCATTGATCAGTGCATGTTAACGGCAATTTTTGATGATGTTAGCACTTATTTAACAGCAGGGATTTTGAAAGTTTAAGGAGTCAATAAAAAACAAAGTGTAGGGACTTAATTCAAAATTGAGGTAAATTATAATGACCTCCAAATTCATTTTCACTTAAATTAATAGTACAAAGTAAATTTAAAAATGTAACACTAGACTCCCTCCCATCCATGGCCCCAAAAAAAAAAAAAACTCTGATTGTAAAATGGAAGTCAATAATAAATAAATAAAAGCAGTACAACATTATTTTACTTCTAAGACCCAGACTCGTGGCAAGGTATAACTGCAAAGTCTAAGTATCTGGAGGCCCAAATCATGATGACGCAGACTTCCATTATGAATCCAAGTGGGCAACGAATCCAATGACGAGTTAGTCGCGCCTTGTTACCGGGCTTGATAAAGTTCAAGAACACCACCAGTAGCGTACAAGCAAAGGAAAGATGACAGTATGGCTCCTCCCTCTCTCTCCTCCATTCTGACTCATCACTTTACTCTTTCTCTTCTTTTTCCACCGCCAACACTGCTATTTCTTTTTCCGTTTTTTTCCCCCAGATTCTGACAGCTGGATTATGGAAAAGAATGTTCACAACCTGTAAAAGATCAGCTTCAGCATCGCCCACGGCAGCAAAAAGGATACAGGCCAAAACAAATGGTAACTCTCCTGAAACAGTTCAAGCAAACATAAATGTCAGTCCAAGAAATTTGCAGTTTCGGTATCAAGAAGTGATCTGATTCATCTGAGATAGATATAAAAAAAAAATTAGTGTGACAGAACGGGAAACTCTGTTTCATTTTGACTCAACGATCATCAACTTCGTCACATGGGGGTGGGTGGTTTTGTTTTACCAAATCTTATCGACACTTCCGACCTAAGACACATGTCCACAATTACGCTCCATTCAACATCTGATTTAAATGGTAAGGCATATACGTAGGACCACTAGTCAGTAGTCTCTACGACACGTACCTAACAGTGCCATGTGCTACAGAGCCTAGAGAAAAAGTGAACCAAAAGAAAGGAAAGGAAGCGAAAGGGGAATCGAATCCTGCCTAGTTTTTTGCTTTGAAAATTAAAATAATTAAAAAATGGCAAGCAACTGAACGAACCTGAGCGGAGGAAATGGCCATGTAACCGGTGGAGGAAGTGGTAGGCAACGGCGGAGTGCCTGAATCAGGGGTGGTGGTGGTGGAGGAGGAGGAGGAGGATCCGGCAGGAGAAGTGGGGGAGGAGGAGGAGGAAGTGTTGGTAGAGACGTCACTTCCAGATAAGCCGAGGGAATACGCCGGAGTGCCATCGGGATTAAAAAGACCGTAATTCCTCTCGGAAGTCGGTCCGGGCTTCATATTCTCATTGAAGAGCGCAAAGACGTAAATATTCAAATCGCTGTTAGGCTTCATGGGCGTTCCCTTCTTCTGGTTGTGCGCAATGAGCTTGATCAGATTGCCATTATATTTCTTGGCATTCTCCGGGGTGGCGCCGGCTTCGTCATCGTCTCCTTTGGAAGGCCAGCCAGTCTCTGAAATATGAACTGACAACTTGCCGTAACCCAAAGATGCCAGGGCTGAGTAAACAGCATCAATCTGGGCAAACAACATGTTATCGTAATGCAGATTCGAGGAAGGATCCACAACCCCTTCATTAGGCTGAAACAGTACAAAATCAAGGTCCACTTGCTTGGGATTGGCCTTGTAGGCGAAGTAAGGGTATGCATTTATGAGAAAAGGAGATCCAGTTTTGGCGTGGAAGCTCAAGATGGGAGTGAGGCATGAAGTGAGATCGGAACGAAATGCTCCGGCGGAAGGTGGGTAAGAGGTTTCCAGAACCGCCAGAGAGTGCGTGGTGGTCACCGATACCTGCTTGTCAAGCCCGAGATTGACGAGCGCCGTGTGAACACCCTGCATCGCTGGAAGCAGGCTGTGGCTGAGAGAAGTATCGTTGAAGGTTAAAACCTCGTTTCCCACGAAGATGCAAGTGATCTTGGTGTCCGGCAAGTATGGTTGCACGTTTGATTTAATCCAGGCTTGAGCTTGCTTTGGATCTTGCATCTTTGATAGGTACTCATTCCCCAGCCCTACCATGAATTCAACTCCAGTATTAGCAAATGCACGAAGCACACGCGGATCCGCGTCGTATAGCTTCACCTTGGTGGCGCCGACCGACTTTATCAGCGGCACCACCTCGTCCGGCGAAGGCAGATTGTTTCCTATTTGTCCATAGTTGATCCCAACTGCAGCCACCATTTCCATTTCTGCAAGCACAAATCCTACACTCACCCATGAAAAAATCAACAATGAGATTAACCTTTTCACACGCATAAACGCATCAAACCAAATCATTTACCTTATCTTCGATCACATTACCTGAGATCAAAATTCCTACCGTCCAACAAGAGCTGCCAAGGAATCTAGCAAACTCCATGGATCTTTATTTTGTAGAAAGGCAACAATGAATTGAATGAGTACTATAAATGGGAAAAGAAACAGACACACAACGGTCAAGACGGAAATTGGCAAGATCAGTGAGTACGACAAATCTTCCTAATCTCTTCAATGAGAATTGATCATGAACAACTTAGATGTACTGATCACTGACGTGAATGTGAGACTGGAGAGCAATACTAGTGCCTCTGTCTCTGTCTCTCGGACCCCTCCCACACACACAGCTTGACAGACAGAGACAGAGTAGTTGCAAGTTATAACTAAAACTACGGAAGGTGAAATATTAATAGAATAAGAATAACATTAATTAAATTGTTCAGAAACAGATGCTGAAGGGAAGGAACCAATGAGACTGCCAATCTAATCTGTCTCTGGTTCAGAAAGAAGAAACTTAAGGAGAACAAATTCCCTTAGTCTGATATTATTGTTTAGCGCTCCATGATAAGATATTTTTAGGCTCCTGAGAGGCGGCTATTAACAGGAAATTCGGAGTTTAGGATGCTGATCATGTTGACGTGGTTGTGATGGACGGTGATGATGACGACCATCATAATCATAATTGTAACAATGGAGGTTTGGACGCTGCTCCAGTGGGACCCAATCAATTTGTTCCCTCACCACTTTCACATGATCGTCATTTCTCAGATCAAGCCGGCTGTTTACGCTTCCTTTTTTTCTCTTTTTTTTCCTGCCTTTTTGATTGGGTATAACTATTTTGGGCCATCATATTATTTAATACTCCTTTACAGTTAAGAAACTTGGTCCTGGAGTCCATGGATCATCAGCATCATTATGCTATAATCACTTTGAGTATGTGCGAGGATGGTGCATCTCGCACCGCCTCAAGCCCTCCAGAGTAACTTCTTTCCTTGTTCTTGTATGTTTAGATGAATCCATAGCTGTTTCCAATAAAGCTATATTGTAATTTGTATCCATAAATTTCTAGCTGCTTATTAGCATGAAGCTTTATTTATACGTTGGATCTGATTAGCTTAGCATTGGAATTCTCTAGTTGTTTACTGTGCTCCCCTCTTTCTGGATTGGGTTAAAACTAGTTGGCATCAAATGCGAGATTAAAATAAGGCACACATCATATCTTAAAAATAGAGCAACTCTGCAAAACGTACCAGTTCTTAATTCACTTCCAAAAGACCTTACAGCTCCAAGAAAGCACACGACAGCTAGTAATAGCTTTATCCTTTGCTAAGGCCAAAAAAAAAAAAAAGAAAAGAAAAGAAAACCCCTTACTGGTTCACCAACCTAAGAACTCGGCGGTGGTGAATTATGGATGGCTAATTATGGCTATATTACTTACAAGTCAAAATGGAAGGGGGGGGGGGGGGGGACGATGCAGTTCAAGGAGTGGCAACGTTTTCCTTAGCAAGTGGAGCAATCTCCGCGCCATCAATTCCAGGTTCGCTGCCAGCTACCTCCATGCTCAGTAGCAGCTTCTCCCATTGCTTGGCTGGTTCCTGTATCACACATTTCAACTGTTAGTTAGAACTTGGATGAAATATGACTCATTTTCCTGATTTGGTTCTGTGATTTGATCACAACACTGACCTTCCATGAAAAGTCCTGGGCCATGCAGTTCTGGATCATCTCCTTCATGACAGGTGTACCGTAGGCCTTGAGGGCTCTTGTGACTGTAGATGCTACCTTGTCCACGTCAGCTGGATCGACGGTATCACACTGTAGAAAACTCAAGGGTTAATAGTCCATTATTTTCACCCCCATCATCAAGAGACAAGGGAATTTGTTTCACTTACTTCTACGTGGAATAGTCCCATGTGGAATCCAGTGTGCCCTTCTTTTACAGTGTCAACAAGTCCACCAGTTGAGGAAACAATGGGCACCTGTTGTGATGCGGCAAACATGAGTGTATAATTAAACATGGAACAGACTGAGAGATGAGATTGATCAGGAGAAAGACATAACAGCCCTACCGTTCCATATGGCATAGAGTGCAACTGAATGAGACCACATGGCTCAAATCTACTTGGGATAATAATGAAATCAGCTCCAGCAATAATCTTGTGAGCCAGGGGAGCGTTGAATTTTGCCACTCCTATAGCCTTGTCCGGATACTTCACCTCTAGTTGCTCAAGTTCTGCCTCCATGGGCCTCTTCCCAGTTCCCTGAAGAAATTAGGGACATTTATCATCAGCATTGGCAGTATCAGTACTACGGATGAATATAAACGAATAAGGAGGGTTGTTATTATTATTATTATTATTTTTGGAGGAAGAGAATCTAATGACTTACAAGAACTACGATCTGAACATTCTGATTGATGAACTTGGGGATGGCAGCTGATAGAATGTCTGAACCTTTCTGCTCTTCTAGCCTACCAATGAACCCTATCAAAGGGATGTTCCTATCAACGGGCAAGCCAACTTCTGCTTGAAGGGCTTCCTTCAACAGAGCTTTTGCTTCCATGACCTAAACAGGACAATTATGATGAGCACTGATTTCCTCTGCTCATGACAATTGTGAAGGCAAAAAAATCAGAGGAGGAACTCACAGTTGTTGCATCGTATTTCAAGCCAGTGTACTTGTCAGTTCCTGGGTTCCATTCTTGAATATCCATGCCATTAACAATACCAGTAATGCCAGTTTTACGAATAATGTTGTCCAACTCCACACCCCGTTCTACTCCTGAGATAAGCTCCTGAGCATAGTATGGGCTTACAGTCAAGACTCGGTCTGACTCTAGTATTCCAGCTTTCATCCAGTTAATTTTCCTTCCCTTCGCAGGCTTATCGTATCTGTCAAAGAAAAAATAACCCAAAAAAAAAAATGAAAAGAAAAGAAATCAGCACATTTGGTGATAGAATAGTTTACTAGTTATATAAACACAGCATTAAGACCCTTGTTCCAATGAATGTATTGAGAAGTTTTACGTATCGTACCCATCAATAAAGTCAAAGGAGCTCTTGAATTCATTGGGTAAATTGAGAAGAGCAAAGTCGGCAAATGCGTGTCTGCCCTGGTAAGCTATGTTGTGAATACAGAAGACAACCTACCAAGATTGACCAAGGATAGTTAGATTGCACAGAAGTGAAGGGTAAAAAGGTCCAAATGGGAAAATATATATTTGATATAAAATATTCCCTGAGAAGAAAGGAACCCTTACCTTTGCATTTTGGTAAATCCCCCTTGATTTGTACATTGATTTCAAGTAGCATGGAAGAAGAGCACTGTGCCAATCGTTAGCAACAAAGACTACATCTTCCCCTGCAGGACGATAGGAAAAGCTTGTAAACTTCTTTCAGTGATTTATCATAAATCAAAGTTAATAAGGTCAAGGAATCAACAAGGAATGCGCACCATATGGTCCTGAGAAGTATTTACTGCTGTTTAAGTTCAGAACCCTAGGTGCCTCAAGTGCAGCCTGAAATTTATTAAACATTTTTATATAATGAGATGTAGAGTCCAGATGAAGCCAAATACAAGTAGCACTAAACCTATAGTAAGATAGTATAACCATGAAACTCTTAAATTGCATTCTTTCCTCAACATAGAGGTCTATTTTATGAATGTACTCTGCAACCAACGTGATAAAATTAACCCAAAATCGAGTGATCGTATCCACTGCAGTGGGACTAAATACTGAAAGAGAGAGTAGGAATTTATCTCTTTCTTCCCACACCAACGTCAGCTGTTGGGATAATGCAATTCAAATCTGTGCAGCGATATTAAACTCTTGCCTATGCATAGAATAACTTAAGTTTACATCATTTACGAGGTTAGTCAAACGCATTATTAGAGTCGAACCATAGAGACGGCACACAACTCAGAGTAGATTGAAAATAGTGCAACTATGCAGGGGCAATGCAAGCATCAGAACATGATTAGGGGTACAAATCATAAGTTCATAACATATATAATGTGTTAAGCAAAATAATGACCAAGTGAAATATAAGCTAGACGACTTTTGGGCACTTGTCCAAAGAAAAAGTATGGTTTACCATGAAGAATATTAAGAAAGTAAAATTTTTTAAAGGGCATGGTACCTGGCACAACAAGCTAAATCTCAGCTGGTTATCCTTGTAATCCAGTCCAGTCCTGGGACCATAGAGCTTGGACCCGGTTTTGCCCCAGACCTTTCAAATTTGAAATGAGGGAAACATCAATTGAACTGTTCCAGGCATACCAGTCCTGAACCCCATAAATTTTGGTATCACGAAAAATGGTTGATGACAGTAAAATAACTCAAATAACCTTCTCCAAGAACATAGGATGATCAACGAAAACACGGTCCACACCTCGCTTGTAGCAGTGGAAAAATCGGACAGTTTCGTATTTATCTCCAACCTTGATCTGAAAATTGTGTGTGCATAAGTAAAATCATGAACGAGAACATAAGTTAGAAAGCACCAAATGGGCCTAAATATTTACCTCAACTAAGACACTCGTGTCCCATGCGTCTTTGTACTGGTCATAACGGGGTGACACAGTCATAACACGGTGTCCTTTGCCTGTTTTCATTTGCATAAAGCTTGATCATGAGAATATACATAAATAATCACAGTGAACAAATAGAATGAAATGGGAAGACAGAGAGATTGAAAACTGAAGGAAATCAATTACGGCCAAAGCTGGTGGAAGTCCCCCAACAACATCACCAAGACCACCGGTTTTGCTCCAGGGTCCAACCTCAGCTGCCACGAACACCAAATTCATCCCATGGCCACACAAAATTTTCCCAACAGGCTGTTCTTGATCCTTGCCAGACTCATCTTTGTTCATTCTTGCATTAGCTTTGATTGCATGGGTTCGAACCTTAAGCACGTTCAGAGATCTCAACCCATCATGGGTCACAGCCTGGTTGTAAGCACCAACAAGACATGAATTTGCTTTGGCCTCTGTTTTCTGGCTTCCTTGTTGCCTCAAGCAGGGGCTTCTGGATATTAAAAAGGAGGATCCAGTGAAGGTTGCCATGGATGATATCGTGAATGCGGATCAAGAAGCCTTCTGCAAAAAATAAAAATACAGATTAACAATGATGCATTCTTTAGCAGAGCAAGGAACTCGAGGGGTATAGTATAGCAGTAGTGATGAAAGGCAAGAAAAAATCGAACGATAATAATCGTAGTGATGCAATATAATGGTTGTGATGAACAAATGAAGGAGGGGGGGGGGATACTAGAACAGTACGTTAAGCCTGAGGTGCAAGAGTGATCAGCGTAACAAGTAACAAAGGTTTAATATTTGTAAATAATGAAGTGAATGAGATTTCAAATATGTGATTCAATTAACATGAAACGAACCCCAGAATCGCAGATTACAAGAGAAGATAGGATCAGACCTGCAACTGCAAGATAATGTAGCTCTGCTGAATGACTCAGGAGAGTATGGAAACGGAAGCTGTGAAAGGTGAACGGCCTCAAACAAGTGTCTTTGCCTCACTCCCACTCACTCACCCTCTCCCACCTCATGAAAGATCCTCCTTTTGTAGAGCCCAGTACCTCGACACGTCCACTCGTGAGTGGTTTTATGATAGGCAGCCTCAAACGTATTTCTCTTATTTCAGTAATTACTTGACTCACAATTAGGACAATCATAATTATAATTCATGGGAATATGCTAAAATGCAAATAAAATATCTCTTTTTTTCTCAATCCCAACCCATTTCCACTGGTCTGCTCACGTGGGCGTGGGACTGTGGCGTTCAACAATTTGCGTACTAACAAGTCTATTCGCGCCCTTAAAAATCTGATTTCTTTTTTTAATGTTCAAGGCGAAAATCAAGTGGCCTTCGATGTGTGACTTGAACGATTCTCAAAAATCAACAACCCCTCACTTAATTTGTTTTGCGATTCCCAAGAAGGAAAATGAAAAATTGCAAAAACCTAGAGAGAAGACGACAAAGTGGTAGGGCCCTCCGCCTCAGGAACGGACGGCAAGAGTGAAGCGAAGGGGAAAGTGGGGGGCCCACTTCCCGCAACATCATAAGAAAGGGACGCCAGAAATCCCACTCATGAATAGCCCCTGCTCTAAGTCTAATTTTCCAAAATTCTGAATTTTGATGGGCTATTTATTTTTCTTATTTTTTGCGGATCGCAGCACAATTTGGCAGAGACAGCCAAATAATTATAATAATACAAACAAAAGAAAGAATACAATGCATTACAAGCTAGAATATGGGACGCACAGAGCAGCGGCTACCTTTAAGCTATTAGGGCGCTTGACAATACTAAAAAGTGTTTATAAAAAGTATTTTTTTATAAAATGAAACAAATTTTTTTGTATAGTTATTTTGTCTACTGTAACCAAACACCCTCAAGACTCTTTACCTTAGGCTCACATGAATTATAAGTTCATTTAAGTTATAGATATTTAAGTTTCATTTCTGTGAAGGACATATTAGTTAGTACAAGAAGTATCAAAACATATGAAAAGTATGAATTTAATTAAAAGTGTAAGATATTATAGAAAAATAATTTTTAATATAAAAAATTTTAGGTATAAGATCACACTTTTATTTGATTTGTTGTGTATTAGTAGTTTTTAATACATATAAGACCATTTTTTCTTCTGCTCAGTAAAAAAAAAAAGTGATAATATATATATAATTTGAACCCCCACAATTTTAGATCATGATGAGTTGAAAAAAACTATGTGACACGGATGATCTTAATTTATTTTCATAATTGAAGATATTAAAAGAAGTGTTAACAAAACAATAATAATAAGCAAAAAAAAAAAATAATACTTCAATGGATATATGATATAATATAAAAAAATTAAATTATTTTTTAAATGCATATATTGATTATAGGATGATATTGATGATATTTGAGTTGAGAGAATTTTTTAAATTGTCAAAATTTCACCTAAGATCAACTATATTAGAATATTAGGGAAAATTTGAATAGATTAAGTGTAATATTTATTAAGAATAAAATTTTAGAATTATTGTGTTACAAAAATTGATGAATGATTAAGTGTAATATTTACTTATTCGGTCTCCAAATTTGTAGACATAAGACTCGGACACAGAGGGATTGAGGGATCTTCGCCGGGAAAAAAGATCCAATCATGCTGTATTATGATTTTCCATAACAATAGTTTTTATATTCACAGTTAAAAAGATATCAGTGTTCTTTAGTTCTTTCAACTGAAATTTTGCTTCACAAATAAGCAACAACATCTTTAATTTTCAAAATGATCATCAAGGCTGCATCAGCTCTTTAGAAGCTGACAGCCATTTATAGTTTATACTAGATTATTGTACACTATTTTTGCTCTAAAAATATGAAATGACTTTCACGTTACCTCTGGAGAGATTTTATTTCATTTTATTTTCCACCCCAAGATGCATAAGATATTTGAAATTAATGGTATAGTATAAAGGAAGGGCCAACAGAAGCATCATGAGATTTCAGACATTAAAATCAAAGATCTTTTCCTTATCACGAGCAGTAAATTGACATCACTTCAAATTTAGACCATTACTAAAACATAAAACCAAAAAAAAAAAAAGACATTTCAGCATTCAGTCAGCATTTTGTTTCTTTCAAAATACATAAATAGGCGCAAATGTTAACAAGAAAATATATATTATAATCTTGCCACCGACTAGTTTTGGCAGTAAAAGTGGAATGGAGCATGCATAGTAATCAAATTTGAACTCTCCGAAATCCTTAACAAACGATATATACAGAGACATGTGAGGCATTCAAAATCTAATGGACGGTCTCAATCTACTTCTGCCTCTTCTGCGGCGTAAGATCTCCGTTCCTTTGCCTCTGAATGCAATCCTCATAACGAGATTGCGACCCAAAAATTTAAATACTCTGAACTGCTCTTTGATAATCCAACGCCAAAATAACAATATACAGAAAAGAAAGTGTCTGGAGTAAAACAAATATTGATGTTATTCCTGAAGTGTGAGATACCTTCAATTACAAAAACAATATACAAGCTCCCTTCCTGCACTTAAAAGCTGCCTGCCCATATGAAATAAAACTAATGTAGAAAAAACAATGCCAACGAGCAGTTTCCTGAAGGCAATAAATTAGGTGTGTTTCCCTTTTCCTTCGGCAATATGACTTGAACGCTCCTTTCCAGTGATGCAGAATGCATTCTGCATTGCAACTTCACAAGCCTCTTCCAATTTTGGCAAACCTCCTGGCAACTCCAAATATGACTGCCTTAGTCAAGAGACCTCGATCAAGGGTGCACGCAAGAGCAATAGCTCCCCCAACAACTAGAAGCTTCGGTATGGTCTTCCCAACTGGTTTGCTAGAAGAGTCTTGATTCTCAATCTCCAGCATATTGTTGTTACTACTGCTTGTGCTTTCCAGATATCTCAGATAGTCTGCACTTACTTTTGTGTTGATATTAGCCATGCAGGCAGAAGGAGATAATGGAGCACCTGAAGCCCTCTCTTTCTGATACGTTCGTAGTCCAGGGTCAATCTTCTTCACAGCTCCCCACATTCCCTGACGAACTCCAAGCTTAGCTATTTCCCAGGGTATACCCATATCTTCATGGTGAAACAATAACACTTCACATGCAGTCATCTCACCAGTTTTCTTTGATTCAACTGATCCATATATTAAACAGAGGCAGATATTAGTCCTCATAGCATTTTAAAATCAATATAGCAGCAAACAAATACAGACCTTAAAACTGTTATAGTCATCCCAGACCCAGACCCTAAGGCCTCCTATGACAAAAATATAAAAAAGATTGCTCCCCTGTTCCGTCACTTTGAAAAATATAAAAAAAACACTACCATTGAGTTCAAGTTAGATTGCAGGGGTTCAAGGTCTGATTAGGTTTTGAAAATAAATTGTAGGGGTTCATGCATCAAGGAAATTCAAGGGAGATTGAAGTATCTAACACATATTCATTCGCTTCCATGGGCAAGATCTCTGTTTCAGAAAGAAGTTTGTCTTTTTAATCCAATAATCAAGAATTGAAAACAAACAATGCCCTGTAGTAATGTTTCCAAACAAATATTGGTAACCTTTTCAAAAATCATAGTTGATTATTTTAGTAACAAAAAAAAAAAACTCTATCTAATCTTAAATATAAAAACTAGATCACTAATTCACGGGTTTTAAGGAAAATACAAGTATTATGAAAAATAGTTGAGTTCATTACTTGTGAAAAACTGTTTGTTAGTTTCTTTAAAATACCCCTTTAATCATTTAGATTGAAAACTACCTTTAATGATGGAAACATCTCTTTATTATGTGCAATCATTAAGGATAGCATGAAAAATATATATATATATATATAAATTTAGGAGACAAAGTAAATTACAGTCTTACATTTAAAACCAAAATAAACCCCTCAACTAGCTCTTATATTTAAAATTAGAGGGATTTTTTTTTTTTTTGGGAAAAAATAGCAATAGTATAGATCTCTAAGATACATGTAACATCTTACCTGCACGAATACACCAGCTAGAATAGTATAGATCAACTCGTTTAGGTTTGTTACGTCTAGGCACAGAGGGGTATGGTACTCCCTGAATAAAGAAGGAACGCCCCTAGTTAATCTCACAACTAGGCAACATTTAGATATAATATCTAGGAAGAATGTGCACAAATATATAAAATTATCTACAACTCTCTTCACCACAATGAGAGACATAAAATATAGTTCCATAAGAAACATTCTTCTCAATTGTTTTGTTATTTTCTTTTAAAAAACTGTCTCTTTGCAGCAAAATGAAAATGCAATTTACAACGGAACAGCCTATAAAACCAAAAGCTGTGTGCATTTCCGTAAATCATTCTATAGCAATTTCTTTTCCCAACATAACTGAACACTTGGTCCACCTTGGTCTCCTAAAATCATTGAGAGCACATCAGACTATCAGGTGCACTGAGACAAAATTATGAATTAATATCAAGGATTACCAAGCAACATCAATATCATAATCATTCTTCCCATTTTTATGAGAAAAAACACCTTTTAGAAAAAACTCAAGCATTCTAATATACCATCTGAAGTTTTCACATTGTTCACTTCTAAAAACTTCAAACCATTCTTTTCATGAAAAATACAGCATACGTAATAAATGCAATTTATTTAGATACAGATATATTCTATTATCGTTAATCATAGAATGACCACTTTTTGATGAAATTTCATAAACAGCAAGACATACTATCATATTCGTATTCATATTTTGGCATTAATAGTGTTTCCACAACTTGTTTCATAAAAATTAATGATAGCTTTTCTTCTCATAATTCCTAAGCATGGCTCGTTCATCTAAACATAAGCAATTGTCAAACTCAGTTGAGAGCTATTTTCCTTCTGCATGTTAAAACAGAAAGTTAAACTTGAAGCTGCAGATAAGCATGGAAGACTTCTAGTCACTAGAACCAGTAAAGCGCCATCATAAACACTTAGGAGTGTAGGCTATGGAGGATGGAAAAAAGAAATGCTATTGGACAAGTAATTTTCTAGTTTATAAGTGTTCTTAATGTCCCCAAATGGGGGCGAAAAACCGTTAAGTAGAATATGTAGTGGCTATTATATATCTCTCCTTTCTATTTTCCAATGAAGAAAGAAAGAATTTCCGTTAATTCAACCAAACAACCTCTTAAAGTGAAGCTCCAAGAAGTAAGACTTTGAGAAGCATTTACATACCTTTGTTACACAGTAGTAAGATTGTCCTGATTCCCAAATTCGACGACCTATCACATATTCTCTATCACTACAAAAAAAGGGAAACTGCAACACGAACAAAACAGGAACATATCAGCCACATGCCTAAGAGGCAACTGAAACCATCAAAGATATAAGGAAGCAGTGTGCTGACCTTGCGCACCCAGTGCACTACCATTGTTCCGGTAACTTTGCATTCTTCTAATGTTGTAGCATGTATAAGCATGTCATCCCACTTCGATCGGAATTCATCATCCCAGAAGAAATCTCTAACCAAGTCAGGAGTTGCATCTTCAAACACAGTCCTGCTGCGATACTGGGGAGGTCCATTCTAACAAAGGGAAATTCAATCAATCATATGGGATCCAACAAAAGGGGAAAAAGAAAGGCTACTGGTCGAAACCATTAAAAAGCAAACTAGAACAATCGAATAGCTACCTCTGGATCTCTCCTCCAAGCTTGATAGCTCATGCGTGGGGTAGAACGGTCCATCATCTGAATCCAAGCATGGCCTCCATCTTTTTCCTCAACCAGCTTGCATAAATGCTCCAAATCTTGTTCTGTCAAGAGAGATTTATCTTTTTCAACCTGCGACGAACTGGCCAATTGGGACTCAGCGGTTAGGGAAAAGAAATCTCACTTCCATCAAATGAAATAGGCGCCATTAAAATTGAGTGAACTACAAAGAAGAAAGCAAACCTGCACTCAGGGGAAGAAGACTCCTCCTGATACCCAACATTGGAAGGCCAGGCAATGAAACCAGGCAACTTAGTCTTGAACAAATTTAAGCTGGGAATTGAGGCGAAACGCGTGGACAAGGAGGAAGATGAAGAATTATTGTCATTTGGAACCAAGCTATCTAACATGTCCCTGCCAAAATTAGCCCATTTGGGTTTCCATGCCCAACCAACCAGAACACCAACAATAACCGCAATCCAGAGTGAAGCAATAAAAATAAAGAGGTCGCCCAATATATCGACCACTGAGGATTTCGCCAAAATTCCCAGCAAAGCCGAAAGCAAAGCCATAGATGACAGCACTACTACCGGAAAAAACCAGAGAGGGGGAGGGGCGAATGAAAAATTTAGGAGAAGGGGGGAGAAAAAGAGAAAGAAAAATCACCTGCTTGAAAGGAAAAAGCAGGGATGAAGAAGAAAGGAGGGAAGAGGATGAAAAAAAGAGCCCCAAGAACCAATGTCCACTCGAATTAGAGAGAGGAAATCAGAGAAATGAGATATAAGGGATAGATATGGAGGCTGTGAAGAAGCAGCAGCAGCAGAATCAGGGTGAATGAAGAAGACGACGGAAATTGGGTCAGTAACACGGATAAGGAGGATCAGATGGGAGGTTGCGAGCCGCTTTGGTGGGATTAGCGTAGGCCCCGCTAGATATGCCTTTTATTTCTTTTTATATTATTTCATGCTTCATATTTTATCTTACTTATTTAATTGATTTTTTTGTCCGTTCTTCATTTTTCCTAAAAAAGAAATTTATGTTTTTAATTCCTATTTTGCTCTATCCTCTATCCGTCAATTCTACGTCATTTCCTTGAAATAATTATCGTGCTTGAAAGTTAAATATGAGTCGTTTGTAAAAGTCTCAATTAAGAAGGCTGTATATTTTGGCAAAAAAATTAAAGTTCCTCATATATATATATATATATATATCTTATAATATAATGGGCTCCGACCCCGAGCCTTTTTTCATTTTTCACGTTTTCTGACTTGGCATGATATAACGCACATGATTAGGTTGAAGACTTAAAATATATTTTTGTTGTTTAATTTATTTCAAAATATATTTTATTTTCCTCCCTTGCTTCATCTTATTTTGATTCATTTTCTTAGCTTATAATAATCATTCAATTAGAAACCAATCGTTGGCTCAAACTTTATTTTAGATTTATAATAAATAAACTTAATTTCTCAAAATAGTTTTCTGAGTTAGAAGCCGAGAATAGAGTTTTAAAATATCATTCTTTTGCAAGTTAAGAGTCTCAAATTAAAAGGTTTTTTTTCCCTTAAAAATTATGATTATCAGTCTGTCCAGCCTTATTTATAAATTTTAAATTTAGGAAGGAGTGCGATCTATTTTATAAGTTTTGATTTGAATTTGTTTTAGTATTTAATACATCTTTTTCTTATTTTTTATACTCTCTCCTATCGTATTTTCCAATACATTCTTTTTTATCTTTTTTTTCATTTATTAAAAAACATATTTTAAAATGAAAACATATTCTTAACCTACTTATTATTTTTAAGTAATTTTATTTAATCGTTCGTTATCTATGAATGAGTTATTTAAAACTTATAATAAAAATTAGATAGAATATTATTTTATTAGGCATAGGCATCCTCCAATTCTGTTCAAGACATTCGAATTTGTGAATCCCATTACCAGACCCGACCTCGTCATCACCATCCTCCTCCCATAGAAAAGTTAATGGGCTCCGACCTCGTGCTTTTTTGTTAGGTATGATTGCAATGGGGCCCGACCCGATGCCTAACTTCCGAGTTCCGACCTTTTCTTTTCTTCCGTGTTCTTTTTGCTGGTTACCTTCTTTATTCTTTTTCCCGTGCCTTTCATTTTTCACGTTTTCTGGCTTTTTCCATTTGACCAACGCGCGATTTCCGACTTCCGGTTGATACAATCAACGTTGTTAGGCTAAGTTATTTTTCTTTTTGCTTAATTCATTTTAAGATATAATGTTTATCTCTTAATTTTATTTCACTTCAATCACAACCACCATTTCTTTACCCATAAAAATCATTTAGTTATTTCCGTTTTCATAATCTCCAAGGTTGGAATTGCAGTTTTAAGTTTACAGTACATGGCAACTAATTATAATAAATAAATTTAAATTCGCAAAAGGTTATTAGAATTAAGTCAAATATAAACTATAAAATCCACGAAGTGGTTTATTTTGGAGGCTGAAATCTAGTTGTTGCAGATCACTGCACTTCATGACCAGAAACGTGAAAAAGCAGCGGCTTTGAACAGAAACTAAACTGCTTCATCTGTTGGTCTAAAAGGAAAAGCCGTCATCTTAACTGAAATTTTATAAGCTCATAATCAATTCTTTTCTTTTCTTTTCTTTTCTTTTTCTTTTTTAATCCATAGGAGCAAAAATGTGGCATAGGAATAGGATGAGGCTAAATCACAAAACCATATTTCATCCAAATGGACAAAAGGCATAATTGATAACAGATGATAATAGGGTTTTTTAATTAAAAAACTTGAGTTGCCAGATAGCTGCATCCCCTTCTCCACAAAGTTGATGTACCTCCCCCATTCTTTCTGCTGATTTACAGATCCCATTACAGCTCCAATCAAATGATGCACCACATGGATTTGCTGCTTCTGCCTTCCATTCACAATCTATCATTCAAACATCACAAACTTTCTCTTACTTACCACTCTTATATCATCATGCATCTCACTAAGCCCTTGGATGAGCCCAAGAACATAGCATTTTCAAGTGTCTGTCAAGTTTCAAATCCTAATTTAACTTTACTAAACTTAGATGATGAATGGTGGTACGTAACATCTCATGCCCCACGTTTGCACTGAAGACTCTTATTAGGTACGTACTTAATATATGAAGTCCTCCTTCTCCATTGTAAAACACAGGTTATACACACCTTTTGATTGGTAAAGTTTCATTTCTCAAAGACTCAAACAAGTGGTTTAATAAGGTGGTGCATAAATGTATAGACAAGAGGACTTATAATCAAGTATCATACCAGGAGTCCCACAGCAGAGGCTTCGCTCATCGATATGCTCGACATCTAGACCAATGAACCATGAACCAAGAGAGACGTCCTCATTTGCATATTTGTGAAGTATATGCCTGAAAGGAGAGCAACCAATGATCTTATACACAATAAGGCTGCAAGCACCAATAGAAGTGAACCTACCCATTAGCTGAAATGTAGGTTGCTAAATCTTTCGAGATCACGTATATTTGCCCAGCTGCATGCCTGAAATACTTGTTTCCCTCTTCTCCAAATTTCCAGTGCTCAGGTTCATGGTACTTGACGCCTCTGCATAGTTTCAAGGGTGGTTATAAATGGCATGCATGATCAATAATGGAAGTTCATATGCTGCTAGCTTACTTAGTTGCAAGGACAAGTCCAGACTTCATACAACCAATATAAACACGTGGTTTGGACCTATGGCGTGCCAACATTGACCCAATCACACCTGCAAAATGTTGCAAGTTCCTGAGAATCCCCATAGACACTTGCAAGTTCTTCTCAAATTGCAAAGAATTACACACATTGCAAAAACACTAACCTAGATTTACATGTACATCATCATCAACTTTAATGTAGAATTCAGCATCCCACTTAGCAACAGCTGTTGAAAAGAATGCTTGAGTTTTGGAGGATAATGTGTGGTATCCCTCCATGTGGCTCTGTATCAAAACCATGTAATTTTTTTGTCCGATTATTTAGACTGAAGAAAATATGAAAACTTTCTTAAAATTACAAAATGGACCAACCAACCTCTAACCTAGATCTGTCAAAAGAACAGCAACAGCTATAAGCCAAGAACATAGGGGCCATTTTGCTCCATATGAAAAGAAATTATGCTTTTTCTTATTATTGGATCAACAATAACTGCTGTTAATTGACTTGTAAAAGGATTTATATATAGCCTTTCATTCATCAGGTGGATCTTCTACCAAATAAACACGATATAATAGGTCAATAATGTCAACAGAGGCTAGCATACCAGTCGCAAGAAATCCTTGTGCTTACCATCTTCTTCGTCAATAGCCTGATCTAAAACACCACCTGGAGTTGCGCTGCCAGTGCCAACCAGAAACCGTGATCCAATAGTAATAATAATAAAGTTCCATGACACAGGAAAGTAAGTATAGTATTGTTTCCTGCATGCAGTATAGTGCATACCAACCTGTGACCAATGACAAACCGGATTATAATTTTCTTCTCTATTTCCAGCTTACTCAGTTCCTTTCCTGAGTGATTAAATATAGTATGTTATTATTTTGCTTCAGCAGTTATTCAGGCAAATATCAGACATTTTTGCTCTAAAGATAGAAGTGAACCTTGGGGCATCCATGTTTTTCTGATTGAGTCCCTCCGCTTTCTGCCACTAAAAGCAGTAATAATTCCCATAACAAAGAATATTTTCCTCTCATCCTTAATTTGCTCTCCTTCTGAACTTGCAAAAATAGGATATTCTTCTTTGTGCTTATTTTTGGCAGCTCTGGCAGCAGCTAGTTGCATCTCTAATGAGGACATTGTTTTGTCCAGTTGCCTGTGTTTAACAACATGAACTGTTATAGTGATCATTTCAAGTATAAATTCTAAGAAATTTTACTGACAAACAGTAATATATGCTTATCTGCTACATTTATCAGCTTTTACTATTGACATTTACATGACAACGTCACGTGTCTGTGAAACTTGAGAAAAGATGTCCCCTGCTTGAACAGATGTCTCCTGTAATATCACTTGGGATAGTAAGATGCAAAGCCTATGCATATCACAACTCTATAACTTGGATGGTTATCTTTCTCACTCTGACTTGCCTCGTTACAGTTGACCAAGGGATGCAAAGCTCTTGAGTGGTAAGTTTCCCTAATTGATGTCTCCTTGACTATTTTAACTGAGTGATCACCATCCCAGAACCTGTGAATCACAATACAAATGAACAGCTCTGTAGCCTACACTCTGAAATAAAGAAATTAAGGAATAGAGGAGTTCATCCTAAAAGAGCAGCATTTACATTCAGACACTCAAAAGTTTAAGAGTTTCTGCACATTGAAATTGGCAAATATATATCAATTGTACGTCTGTAAGGAATTTCCATAAGGAGACTAAACTTATGTACAATAACATGAAAAGGAACTGTGTTTGAGGAAGCTATCTAGCAATAGCATTCATTAGCAATCAGTACATAGAGTCAAACATGTCATAATCAACAAGCAATTGAGGAAACCTTGATGGAGAATGACTTCAAATATTGAGTGGACTGAAAAGTCAATTACGCTAGCATTTATCATGCATCACTATGACCACCTGGTCACCCAGTCACGCCTAATGACTCAAACATCAAACAAATTACTAAATTATAAAAAGAATGGAGGAAGAGATGGAAAAAATATACACACTTGGCAAATCATTGTTTTATCATAAATTGACTCTTTTTCTGGTCCTATCGTCTAAGTTTTCTGGCGATGATGTCATCCTCTAGTGTTTTATTTTCTGTTATGTCTCTTCTCTGGAATCGTTTTCACCATGTCCACCGAAAAAAATTGATTTACTGATATGTAAAACAAGTGCAATGAATTAATAGCATCACAATGATGTTATTCATGCTCTTCTCTGACACAAATTTCCACAATGGAACCCAATTTGTAAGAACTCCAAAATTCTAAAACCCCAAGTCACTCAACTAATGGAAGATGGTGGAGTTAAGAGGAAAAGCTCATATTGGAATTTATCATGTACAATTCGAATAGGAAACCTACAGAACTCATAGTTAGTGTGTGGGTTTCACCCATTACTTTGAAGACTCATCTTACAAAATACTACCTCGAATCCTAATTATAAAACCTCATTTGTAGACTACAAACAAGGTCTTATAATTAGGATGGAAGATAGTAGCTTGTTAGGAATTAGTAGCACCATAAGTTCATAAAATGCCAGAAATCCAATTTAAACATAAGCAGATATCAAACAAAAGATGAACATTAAGGATAACATTAACACCTCAAAAAATAGTTTCTGGGGATACAGTTATAAAGTTCTTATATTTTTGGAAATGGTGACCAGTGTAATCTCCTTTCCTTGATAATGTTGCTTCTGATTCAGTCCCTTAATATTGTTAAACATCATAACATGTCATAACAAAGATGGCTGTTGATAAAGTCTAGATATTCACAAAACACGAGATAATTCATCTACAGATTTTCATTAAATTGAATCAAATATGAGTTTCTTTCTTATTTATGCATTGCATCTAAATGGTCTAATTATTAATTTTTGCACATTGCTGTCAATGTCATTATGCACGTGAAACACTGAGTTGCAGCGTAAGCACTTTGTTGCAACTTTATTGTGTCTTATGAGTTATGAAGTATTTATGTTCACATGGTCCATATTAGAAGGACTCTGAGTTCTCTGAGTAGCCTCTGGTGTGATATCACGTGAGTTTGGAAGCGTTGTACCTACCATGCGTCTGAGGCTGAAATCTCCTGTAAACGTTCAACACCAGAGGTATTGAAGATCTGGTGTATTGTTCGGTATATTTCAATGTGTGGGTTTATTTGGTCTACGGCTCTCAACTCGCAATTCGCAACAGACACAGTAAAAATACAACAATATTTACTTCCACTTCATAAAAATGAGACCAATACAACTACACGCATTTAATTTTAACTAAAAACATCTCTAGCTATAGGGCCATAAGAATCCAAGGTACTGCTAACCAGGAACCAAAGAAATTTGTGCAGCAAATGATTTCGATATCAGCAGGATCCAGGTGCTTAAGTAAAATATCAATTATAGTTACGAGAAAGATCAAATATCAATGACCTTCAAAGCCGCAAATTGAAGGACAAAACATCCTGGTATATGCATTTGCTAACCGATTTCTCGCTCATGAGAGCTCGAAAACTGTATCCACTAGACCAACACTCAATAATTAAGTAAATGAGCCAGGATAGGAAATCAGTTCAGCTTCAGCTTAAAATCGAAAGCTTCAGCATTGTTCTCTATCGTATTCTTCAGACTTCCAACCGACCCAGTTCAAGAATATAGACACTCTCAAGTATATGCATAATGAAGCTAAGCAAAGGAATACACAACTGATTTTGGGGGAAACAGTATAACACCAGAAGGTAAGAACCCGAGCTGGAGAAACAAAGAATCCAAAAGTTCAAGACTTTCGTACCAGATCTTGGCGGTTTCATGGGGAGAGATTGAAGCTGAGAGCTAACCTGTTGACGACAAGAAAACCCAGGAAGAAGCTGGCAATGCAAGACAATGAAACCCATCTCGTCGAGAAGCCATTGCCGACCTTGTGTTGTCTGCTCAATCCCATCTGAACCAGAAAGCTTAAACTTTAAGGTAGCTTCCTCTTCAGCCTTCTGAGCGCAGTGATGAGCATCATAAGGATAAACTGGAGAATCACATTAGAGCAAAACATAAAGCGGAATGAGCTAAATGTTCGAAATGCACAGTTTTAACTTTTAAGCATCAAAAGATGGAAAGATGCATGCTAGCTCAGACTTCGATTCAAACTGCCGTGAGAGGATCCACATTTTATATTGATACGTCTTGATCGGTGATCACGCATCAGTCATCAGTACAAAATTCCAAAACAAGATCATGGGGGAATTAATAATTTAACGGGAATAATATAATATTATTACCAAAAATGGCTAGAAGCAATATACCATTTTAATTAGACCTTTCTCAAGGTTATATCTTTCTTTATAATCTTAGTCTATCTAAGGAAACTGTTTTTTCCTTCAAATCATCGCCATCCTGCTCTCGCCTTCTGGTTCGAATTTATTTGACTCACGAGAAATATAATAATAACAATTATTATTTTGTAATTTACTGCCGTTCTCCTCCCTCTTATTAACTAGAGCAGCAAAATCTCTCCTCAAACTTCAGTCACCCACCCTTTCGGCCTTTCCTTTTTTATTTTCTCCCTATTTTAATCTTTTTTTCTTTTTTGTTTTGGCCTGCACTATTTTAATCATTTCTGCAACCATCTCTGTCTCGTCTTTTTCTTTTTAATAAAACATCTCTTCTTTACTGTGGACATGAGACTTATTTTATCAATTTTTTCACATTCTTTATATATTTTTTCATCCTCCAAACAAAACATGACTCGCGTCTTGTAAAATGTTCCGCGAGCCCTGTGCTGCCACGATGTTATTGACTTATTCTCATTGTTATTGTAACAAAAATCCATTGGTTTTAGGAAAAATCTTAAAAAATGATTGTTAAATTTTAAAATTTTAAATTTACTAATTCATAAAAAAAATAATTACATTCAAAAAGCAAATAATAACATATTTTTGTAATAATTTTTTTAAAAAAATTTAAAATTTAACAGTTATTTTTTTAGGAATTGTCCTTGTTTTATTTATCAAGAATTTGTTTGGAATCATGATTTGAGCTTTCCAAAATAATTATTCAATCATGATTTGAAAAATAAATTACAAAAGTTTTGCCTTAACTTAATGAGAAATTTTTTTTTTGGACCAATGAATGAGAAGATTAAAATACCTCTCTTGTACAAGTACCTAAAATTTCAATCATACTTCAATTAAGAGATAAAATGCAATTTCCTTTAGTCGGCCATGAGATAAACTTTAATTTCATCCATTAATAGTTATTGCTTTTGGATAACAGCAACAGAAAAACTATTTCGAAGATATCTACACTATTTTGTAATTTTTAATTTGGTAACGTGTTTTTTTTCCCAATGAATTCTTTAATTTTACTCTATTAACATTGTTAACCCTTGCACAAAGACTATCAATACTATATTGCAAAGGTGCAAAACCTATTAAGCAAACATTGTTAAAAGAGCAAAATTAAATGATTTCATTGAAAAAAAACACGTAGATACCAAATTAAAAATAAAAAAAGTATAGGTACATTTAATATGGTTTTTTTATTAATAATTGACACAAATGGACTCAATTTGTTAATATTATATATAATTATTGGCACATTGTTATTTTATTATCAATTAATGTGATTGTTAATTTTTTTTTTATAAAATATCTAATATCTAATGTAATTAAGAGAGTGTTTGGATAGAAACAAAACTATAGTTTCAGAAATAATTTTATGATTTACAAAATAAATATATAGAGGAGTTTGTCCCGATTTATGAAAAATATTTTTTAAAAACACTTATTGGCTCATCCAAACACCCCCCAAGTAAAATTTAAGTACTATCGGATATATATGGAGCTCTCCCCAAAAATTTTTTCGAATGGACTGTTGATCATTTAAAGAGCTACATTTTAGTTTGTGCCATTTTATACATACCATATTTAGGCTAACAATAATTTAGTGGGTCTTCTATTAATTTCGATTTGATTATTTTTTTCAAACTTTATGTTATATAAAATAAACTTTTGATGTAAATGAATCTATTTGTTATTATTAATTCATTGTCCTTAGTAATCCTTTTTTTTTTAATGAAAAAGAGATATTTATATAAGAATATACCAATGATAATTGTCCCCCATCTTAAAAAATATGCAGACCATAAAACACTTTTTTATTCTTACAAAAGTGTAAAATTTCTTTTTCTTTTTTTTTTACCTGACTGATAAGTTATATATATTTCTATATGAGTTAATATAAATTTTGGTCCCTCAAATTTGAGGCCATTTTGGCATTAGTCCCTCAAATTATATCTGTTTCTGGGTGTTGGTTCCTAATAGCATTAAGCCCTCCTCTTTTTATCTGTTCCGATAGAACCATCTGCTTTGCTCTTATCTGGTTTTGGCGGCTTTGGTGGCATGCTGGTCATGCCTGCCTTTTTGTTGGAGTTGCTGGTGAGGTTCTTGTTGCTTCTTCTCAAGCTTCTTACTGTGGTGATAGGCTTCTCTTTTTTCTTGGGAGATTCATCATCGTCTGTATCAGAAGCAGATGGCTTCAATGGGGTGGCTTTTGTATCTGAAGCTGGCTTCTTCTTCTCATGAACTATTAAGTCACTTTTTTGGTCAAAGGTAATGGAGGAGGTAGAAGGCTTAGCTTAGTTGAGAATGCACTACGTTTCCTCCATACTAATATAGAAGCAGAAGCTTTGTGTTTTGACAAAAGTGAATCCTAGATTGCATAGGGTCTCTTCGACCATAGCCTTCCATTGCTCATGCCACATCATCAAGCTTTAATTGCCAAGTCATATGCCGTATCATAGGTTAACAAAGTTAGTGCCAACTCAGACGAATTTGACAGTCTAAAGCTATCAGAGACCAACGGCTAGAAACGGATATAATTTGAGAGACCAACATCATTGGTTTTAAATTTCAGGAACCAATACCAAAATGGCCCCAAATTTGAGAAACCAAAATTTATATTAACCCTTCCTATATCTAATAGTTATATACAGACACATATTTAAATAAATATTTTTAAAATTTTAATAAGTTAAATCTACGATTTTCAATACAAAACAATTTCTTTCGTAATTATGAACATAAATATTACTATTATGTTTTAAATTTAATTTAGCGGAGGACTTGAAGCATTGAATTTGGCAGCGTAACTGCGTAGGAGAATCGTGGGTTAACTGGGTTCATTCAGGCCCAGGAGCTTCAGGAGGGAGACGACAGGATAAGGGCGTTTTATCCAAATTGATCGATTGCGTTCTCTGTTACGCAAGAATCACCCGTCTTCTTCCTCTCAACGATTCAATGTCGTCAATTCACCTTACCTGTCAACGCCCTCTTCCTTCACTGAGCTACTCTTCTTCGTCTACCATATTCTCTTTCAGCCCCACCAATGTTTCTCTGCAGTTCTACAATAAAAGACGCTCGCTTCCCACTCTCCTGCCAATTCCCCGGCGACTCAGTGTTGTCGCCATGGCTCCGCCTAAGCCCGGTGGGAAGGCCAAGAAAGGTACCACTCTTTTCTTTACCCTAATTCACCCGCTGCTTCTCTTCTAACCGAACAGTGCTTTGTGTCTCTCTTAGTGATTGGAGTGATAAAGCTAGCTCTTGAGGCTGGGAAGGCCACGCCTGCTCCTCCCGTTGGTCCTGCACTTGGTTCCAAGGGTGTCAACATTATGGCCTTCTGTAAGGATTATAATGCCAGGACTGCTGACAAGGCCGGTTATGTCATTCCTGTGGAAATCACTGTCTACGATGTATGTTTATCTGCTCTCCTACCTTATTTGTTTGGTTGCCTTTGGATTTTTTCCCTGATGGGGTGTCTTTCTATTTCTTTTAATTTCTTGTTTCTTCACGATTATACTATTTTCTCGCAGGATAAAAGCTTTACCTTCATATTGAAGACACCGCCAGCTTCAGTTCTGCTTCTTAAGGCAGCAGGTATGTTGTTTAACAATGCCCGGAAGCTGTTTGATGCCGTGTAGCTTATTGTACTTTATCTGTTGTTATTGCTTTAGCTGCCATTTCTTTGAAATTTCAGTGTCCTATTGTTATATTGTGAGCTATACCAAGTGAACAAGCAACCGGCTATTTTTAACTTATATATGGAACAGTTTGATACCTTACAAAGAAAGGCTTAGTTAAAGAAGCTTTATATTCTGAGCCCAGCCTAGCATTTTCCTGGGTAATGAGACATTGTCGATCTTAGCTTTGTGGTATGGATTATATATTTGTTGCCCATTGTTCTTTTTCATATTATGGATAATAGGTTATTGTAGGTAATTGGGTAGAAGGAGAAAATAGTTGGTTGTTTTCTTTTCACGGGAACTGATAGATTGGATTTGGTATCATAGATTAATGATGTTGGTTGGCTATGTAGGGGTGGAAAAGGGTTCGAAAGACCCCAAGATGCAAAAGGTGGGAAAGGTCACAATTGATCAAGTGCGTGCAATTGCTACTGAAAAGTTGCCAGATTTGAATTGCACAACTATTGAATCAGCCATGAGGATTATAGCAGGCACTGCAGCAAATATGGGAATTGATGTTGACCCTCCTGTTCTTGAACCCAAAAAGAAGGAAATCCTGTTATAAGGCCACATTTCAATGCTTGATTTACTACTACTTCACAGAAGTCACTAGCACGGCTAGATCACTCAAGATATTTAGTGTATTGTCTCCTTCCAAAGAGCTTTTCGCAAGTGATGGTGCCTGTCTCTCTGTTAATCTTCCCTCGCCCACTCATTACAACTCTGTTTTGTCACAGTAAATGAGAGAGCCATAACCAATTTTCTCAATATTTAGCCGGCGTAAATTTTTCAGTTCTTTCAATCCAGACGTTGTAGTTGTTGTGGTGTTATGCTTAAATTTAAACAATGTCCTTGCAAAGAATTTCTTCTCCGCCTTCTCTTCCATTCTCTTAATCACATAATTGAACTTTAAATGTTAAATAAGTTCAACTCCAAACAATAATCACATAAGTGAACAATGTAATGAATAAAAGTTCTTAATTGGGGTCGCATTTTCCGATGTAGTTGGTCCTTTCCAGTCATCTTGGTAATTGCCGGGGTAATCAAGAGCAGGAATAAAGTTCGCTTCTGTGCACGACCAGAATACGCGCTTGGCCTAGCTTAATACCACAAAATGGACTGACTGAGAAAGGTTATTGTTATGTGATTATGTAAGAGGATTGACTCTAAACATTAAAATAACCAAAACCTCAGGCTCTTTCATGCGGAATCGAAGAGGAATTGTGTATGTTTCAAACAAAACGTGATCGAAGTCAATTTCGCTGAAGCCATTTGCAGGAGGTTGACGTTGAGGAAGGCTTGAAAGGGAAACAATCCAATTTTACTAGCCGAAAAGCGAGAAAAGCACAAAACCTATTGAATCGCAGACGTGAAACAGAAACTAACGGTTCTTATAGGGAGGGAAAACGGGGGAAATTAAGGGCGAAGCAAGCAGCTCAATCTCAAGGTTTAGTGAAGCCATTAGGCCAAATTCAATTCACATGTAAATTGGTGCAAACATATAAACAATGGTGATGTTGAATGATAAATAACACAACACTCTTTTAATCAGGATGTCAAATTCATGCCTTGTAAACGAATAGTTGATACCACCAGATGCCGAGTTTTTTTTTTTTTTCAGAAAACAAAAAGTTGTCTCGGATATATAAGGGGAAGCAAAAGCATTAAAAAGGCCATCCTACAACCAAAACTAAAATTTTTGTTCGCGCAATCTCGCTTGACAAATGTAGCGCCTATGCTGATTGTCCCAAGTCCTGGAAGTTTCAGTCTAACCAAACTGGAATTACACTTCCACAAGAATCGTAAAGTACTTAGCCGTCATATAATCAAATCTCAATGTGAAGGATAAATTATGAAAAGGATTACACATCAGTATTGACCACATACTGAGCAATTCTCGTTTTTAATTAAGGGTGCCTTCTCTTTTATCGAGGTCCAGAAAATAAGGCTTTGCTAATTATGCCTGTGGCCTCAATATATCGCTCCACACACCTAGAGACGCAACTGCTTTCGCTTCCACTTAAGCTTGACCCCGGTTTTGTGATGCACTTCTCAAAACACTTCCCCCTCACTGTCTGCAAAATCAATAACAATTCGAACATAAATGGCAGTTAAGCAAATCATCTTTGAATAAAATTGTTGCCCAAAGCAGTACTCAATTATCAACTAACATTTGTAGCATTGTAGGACCTTGTCAGTCCATAGCATTGCTCTTCCCTTGCAAATATATGAAAAGGTCCTATTATTTTCCCCAAGGCACTCTTTTTTAGTTAGGAAAAAGCTATATTAACACAAAATAATTTCATGACAAATTTGTGAGAAGTAATGAAAAAGAGCGTGATAAAAAATAACTGCACAAACTTATCCTCATTCGAATAATTGCAGTCAAATAGATGAATGTTGATTTTTGTCATCAATGATATTAACAGAAGCATCACCTTAATAACCAGTTATTCTGGGTAATAATACCATTGCACGAGCCTCGTTCAACAAGATGAAAATGCCACGGTGCAATCCTTTGTGGTTAGACCAATATATCCTCATTAACAGTGGTAGCAGGTAAATTAATTTTCTAAGTTGGCACTTGAATACTTGATATAAAACTGGTTGGTGTCTAACCAAATTCTCCAGCTTTAGAACATACATATAGAGAGAGAGTGAGAGAGAGCACTTTGCGTGCGAAACAATTTAAACAGCATACGATATCTATGCAAATCAAATTTGATGGGTCTCAGAAGCTAGCTAATTAGGTTAGAGAACCATTCCATTTAAATTCCCCACTGAGCATCATAAAGAAACTTGGGTATTCCATACTACTTTCAGACTTCATCAATTGGCCTCCTTAGAAAGGGGGCCTCCCATTAACTATCTATCTCATTCAAATCTCACACTAAACTTTTGACATATGGTTATCATATTACTAACTGAAGGATGAGAATACTTAATTTATAAAAATAAAAAAAAGGTAAGAGAATTTTTATGGATCAAAAATATATTCTTTCTGTGAAATAGACGCTCGTGTGTCATCACTTGACATTGGTTATACATTTTTTATATAAACAAAAGCGTGAAATTATTTCAAATATACTCGTTGAGCTCAATGATCAATGTAATTATTCAGTTATTGCCCGCATGTTGTATCGACTATGAGGACACTATATCCAATAAATCAAGCAGAGTGGTTCACAATGTTTTGCAGCCACATTTGAGGGGAATATGAGTTCATTGTTTCATAAACAATGAACGAACAACCAGAAAAAGAAAGAGCAACGATAATTCGAATAGAAAGGGCACAGCAAGAGAGAGAGAGAGAGAGAGAGAAGGAGAGAGGGAGAAGAAACCTCGAGGAATTCTTCGGCATAGGCCTGAGCGAGCTGTGTCTTGAGCTGGTCTTTGAAATCCTCAGAGTTGAAATGGGACGATGATCCACTCGAGGGACTTGAGAATGAATCCATTTGCTTCGCTTCTCTCTCAAGTCAATCTTCCGCCCAACCACTCTGCCTCCACCGCTTTACCACTGAGCTAACCTAGCAGCAAGCTCTTCCTGATTTTGTTCTACGAATTGGTTCATCCGACCCTCAAATTAATCAACAAGCTGGCCTAAATCTGGAATGGGCCTAGGCCCACAAATTATTAGGCCGGTTTGATTTCACTTTTATATTTTATGTTCATACAACGCGCACGGGACTACTCAAGGTGTTCTGGTGATGTTACCAAAAAAAAAAAGGATGTTCTGGTGATCAATAGGGCATTATCATCCGTGAACCCTCTTACCTTCTGTTTAATATCATATTGAGGGGATAATTTTGTGGGTGAAAGACATATAAGAACCAAAAAGATAAAAGAATATCAAAATGATTTCTTAAATTGTTTTAATTTTTATGAAATTTTTAGGAACTATTTTAAAATTATTTTTTTTCAAATGACCTAATTGTCCTCATATAAATGTATGGATATGAATATGGATATGAAATTTAATCCCGCCGTCTTTTGGTCCCAAAAACTTTTATGATAGGTAATTTATTGATATTTCTTAATAATAGACTAGAAAATATTATATCAAACAACTTAAATTGTACTACCTCCGATCCTAATTATAAGACCTCATTTATAGACCATAAATTATAAACAAAATCTTATAATTAGGATCAGAAGTTGTATGTCTCTCTCATCTTTGTTGATTGCATAACCAGAAATTTGCAATACACGGATGGATTGTCATTATTTTTGGTCAAACAAATAGCAGCATCATCAATATTAGATTGAGTGTTTTGATTTAAGGTATTTTAAGGAAATACTATCTCAAGTTCTTAATATAAGACCCTATTTGACTTTTATTTTGATTCTAAATATAAGACCCTAATCCATTTTGTCTCTCATATTTTTTTTTTTTTCCAAAATAGCCCTTCTAATAATGATAGTTCTAGTCAATACACTTGATTAGCAAGAATATTTTAGAAAAGACAACACATGTTTAAGACAAATAACTAACTCAACTTATTTCTTTAGTCTCCTTAAACTAGTCAACTAACTCTTATAATTAGGACTAGAGGTAGTATGTTGACGAAATTTTATCTTGTAAAACGATTGTTTTTTTTTTTGGGAGAGATCGCCAAAATGAGTCTGATGCAATTTCACGTGATGAATATTGCTTCATAGTTTTCCTCCACATCCCTTGAACCGGATAATAATCACTAGTAGAGGACAGGACCTCAAATGCTTGGGCCACTTCTTATTTGGACGGTAATCATTATCTCCGCACTGCCCTCAACTCACAAACCATCTTCATCACTAATAAAATCATATATGAAAAATAAATACGTTTACATCACTCCTAGTTCTATTTCATGTTAATTACTACTTGTATCCTAATTATAAAATCTCGTTTACAAACTACAAATTAGATCTCATAATTGAGATCGAAGGTAGTACATAAAACTTTTTTTTTTTTTGGGGTCAAAAAACTAATGCTTTAATCTTACGTTTTTTTCATTCTTAACAATATATCCTTAGTCCTTACAAGATTCTGAAAAGCAATTGGAATCCTGTAACTTGACTTTGCCTATTTTCAATAAACTGAAAAGATGGATAGAAAGGAACTTAACTTTAACATGGAAATAAGCTTCACATATAAGTAAGAAAAACTTTCGAACAGAAGCTCTCAAGTCTCTCTCTCTTAAATCTCAGCCTCTGCAATGCAATGCAGGAATCCATATCCATTTTTCATAACATAGTTGTTTTCTGATCACTACGAAACCCTAAGTCCATTACATGAAGAAGCTCAGTAGTCAAGTGGTGGCGGGTTTGGCCGAGAAAAAAGCAAGAGCCCCAACCAGGGGTGCATTGATATAAGTCGCCGGCTCCGATTGCTGATAGTTATTGCGATCATCAGAGAACCGGTCGGAACTGTCGGGTCCTCCGACGATGGCTCCGACCAAAAGATTAGGATTAGGAGAAGAAGAGTGGAAGTACTGAAAGCCGTCATCGCAGGAAATACGTTGAGGGTGATCACGAATGGAAGGCACAGAAGAACCCCTGTGGTGAATATTCTTCGGATACCTATCTCCAAAACCCACCATGTACGACATTTTCTCCGGATTATCCCCTAAAATGTAATCAACTTGCTTTCTAGCCAGCCCAACGAGGCTCTGTGCCGTCACGGTGGAGCCACCACACCGCACTTCGATGGAACTCGAACCCAGATACTTTGCGTATGTCAAGAGCACCAAGCTCGTAGATGTAACATACTGCAGATTGCTCTCGCTGCCTTTGTAAAGAAGCCCACCTGCAAAATCATCACTTCAATCACTGCTCTTTAAGTTTAAACCAACTTCAAAAACAATATACATGTCAGCAATGGCTCTTCTTCAGACCTGGGGTGTACTGAGCCTGGAAGCCTGGTGATCCTGGTACTAGTGAGCATATGTAATTGTCAGCGTGTGCTTTATATAGTTCAAGTTCTTGAGTGTTTTTCTCCAAGAACTCCTGTAGCAATATTTGTGTAAGTTAGCAATTAGCGCTGAGCCGTAGATGAAGGAAAAGAGAGAAAATTAAGCTCAGGAAATACCTGGGAAAGCAATACTTTAGTTCCCGCTCGCTTGTCATCCCAACTGAAGGAGTAAGTATCATCATCTGCACCTAATACGTGCCCATTGGACTGTATATAATTCATGAAGGAACTAATTCCAGAGGCTTTGTAAATCCACGAAGCACCCCACAGAAGCTCATCCTGATCACAATGCACAGTTTTATACATATTATTGAACGCTTAAGACGAGGTTGGGTTGAGAGTGAGACGATAACCAGGCAGGTATTGAACTTACATGATATCCAGAGTAAGAGCAATAGAATGGACAGACCACGGAGTTAAGAGAGTCACTATAAGATCCCCTGTAACGGTCTGCAAAATCAAAGACCTGAAAAGAGCGTCACGAGATGAGACGTGGATACATACAAATGTATAAGCATGGCAATTATAAGCAGGGATGGAAGTCAAATAGTACTTTGATGGCTGCTTGAAGCAGTTTGGAGGAATATGAAGGGTCAGATTGTTTGAAGACTAAAGAAGAAGCTGCTAAAGCAGCAGCAGTCTCAGCTGCTACGTCTGATCCTGGGCTTTGAGGCGTCACTTTGTACACGTTTCTTGGAGTGTCCATGTCTTCAGGCCTTTCCCAACACTTGTGATCCATGTTAGGATCTCCTACCTGCCAACCCACAACTATGCTTGATACATTTCTATCACTTGTTCATTCTTAAACAAAGCGCGCGTGTATAAATATAGATACATATATATATATATATATATATATTCTCTGCAATAAGTGGGGCTCCCTTACTTGGACGTATAATGTATCAGGAGTGGAAGTGGCTGCTTTAAGCAGATAATCAGAGCTCCACTTGACAGCAGCTCTGGCATTTTCAATCTGATCCCCCATTGAGCTTCCGAATTCAATCACACTCCATGCCAATAACGTAGTGGTGAATGCCATTGGAAGTCCAAACTTGACGTTATCGCCAGCATCATAATAACCTCCCACCAAGTTCACCTGAATCAACGAATCAAACGTGTCTTAATCTCACAATATAAATCACACCAAGTGTTTTTTACTCAAAAGATTACAGAATATGAGGAATATATATAGACACAGACATGATAGGAAGAACCATCGGACAAGGCAGAATCACCCCTCCAAGTGAGGTGCTGGTTGGAGGGTAATTTGCCAGAACGCTGGCCTTCAAAGAAGAGAATGGATTTCTTAAGGGCGTCAGAGTATTGCTGGGAAGTGAATGCATGAGCAGGTGAAGCTAGTAAAGTAGACAGAATCATGAAGCAGAGGCACAGCCACATTGTGGAGAGAGAAGGAGGAGAAGGAGAAGAAGAAGACAACATTGTATAGAAGTGTGTGAAGAAGATTATATGCATCTGATGATTCGAATTGAATATTGGTGAGAGGGCGAGGCATGCAATTTATAGGGAAGAAGAAGCTGAAGGAAGTTGGATGGCAGGTAAAGTGGCCGTTACAACTCTGCCATTGATTGGTTACAGTTAACGGAATCAACTGCGCCAAACAGGGCTGGATCTAATATGTTTCTGAGGGTTGAATTAAGTGAGCCCGCGCAAGCATACCAGATTCCTTTCTGATAAGGACAAGTAAAAATAAGCGCATGGGAACTGTTCTTGATGCTTATTACATGGAAAGACTATTAAAGTTTGAGTCTTTAGAAATTATATATGTTTTAGTGACCAAGTCACGGGGCACACTTAAGAGACTATGAAGTCACATGAGGGTATGATCGGTCAAGTTGATGAAGGGAACGAGTTTTCTAAACAAAGGGGTAGGCCTGCAAGAACTTTGTTGAAAAAGCAGAGAACAAGGCTGAATTAGATAATCCTTAATGTGTACCATGTGATAAGGATGTACTCACATGTATTTGTGGATTTTTTCCTTATTCCTTTTCGGTGGGGCTGCGAACTGCTGCCAAAAAGAGAGAATAATGCGCCTTAATTTTTGGCTTATTCTAAATTCTCCTTTTTGGCTCCTTCATTTCCTCCTAATTCCGGCACATTGACTCTGTCTCAAAGTTTGTTGTAACTATCAAGTTTGGCTTTATTTATGCATTAAAATCTGCAAATGCAGAGCTACACGCAGTGGAAAAATGACAGTACTTGCCTTAATTTGGGACTTTTAATGAATCTTGTTTACATTTTTCGTCGTCGTCTTCTTTTTTCTCCCCCTTAAATTCAATACTAAACCTGTCAGTACATGTTTGTGTTAATTATTTTGTTATATAACCTCCACAAAGCCTGCTCAGAGACTGCCCTTTCTCCCCTCTGAACAACTACTCCCTCCTCCTCTCTGTTTCGTTAGTTACGGAGTTTCTTTCTTCATTGGATTTTCAAATATGCTTTGAAACCCTTCATTATTAAAGTAATCATAAATAGTATTAAATGCCCAAGGAGTGGCGTTGTTGTATTGCAAAGCCTAAAATGAATCCGAATTTTAATTTATAAAATCATCTTATTTTTCATTGGGGAATTACTTTTTCCCAAACTTGCCGATTCCATTGTCTCTCAACTATTCCCATCCCATGCTTATAGGCCATGCCTCCTTCGTCACGCCATTCATGTTAGTCATTACTTACACCAAAAGTCAACCATCGTCCAAAAGAATAAAAGCGAAATTACTTGAAAATTTATTTCCAGCTCCACGCCTGAATTTAAGCACATAATGTAACAAGTAACCTCTCTAACATGAGAATGTTATTTAACCACATAAGTCTTGTCAACAGCTAATTGTCTTAGTGACAACACCATCCGTCATCTTTAAACAAAACTTAACATTAATATCTTTGTGTGTGTCTTTAATTATATTATATTAAAAAACCACACAAATCTTGTATGCTTAAACCACATTACTTAAAGCTTTGTTAAATATTGATCTTTGATTCGTAATATAAAATCCACTTTGAATAAGATTTCTTTTAGAAAAAATGACAAAAAATACTTATTAAATTTTAAAATGATAAATAAGTCATTTTGATAGATTTTGACTTGTTAAACCCACTGCAAGAATAGTTAACACGATTTATTTATCTTTTTCAAATTGAAGAGATAATTTTCTGTCATTTTTTTTTTATTTTTACAGATGAATCTTTTTATAAAATGACATCTAATTCTTAAGATTCTTTTTAGTGCAAGGATCGGAGGTATTACTATACTTTATAGAGTTATAGTAATTACAGCCTCCGCGATGTAATGCAGGAATTCGTATCCATTTTTCATAATGTAGGTGTTTTTTCATTACTACAGAATCCTAAAGTCCGTACATGAATGCGTAATCAAGTGGCGGCGGCTTCGGCGTTGGCTGAGAAAAAAGCGAGAACTCCGACCATGGGTGCGTTGATACAAGTCGCAATCTCGGATTGCTGATAGTTATAGCGATTATCAGAGAACCGGTCGGAACTGTCGGGTCCTCCGACGATGGCTCCGACCAGCAGATTGGGGTTAGGAGAAGAAGAATGGTAGTAGTACTGATATCCGTCGATGCAGGAAACACGTTGAGGGTGATCGTGAATGGACGGTATAGAAGAACCCCTATGATGAATTTTCCTTGGATACCTATCCCCAAAACCCACCATGTACGACATTTTCTTCGGATTATCCCCTAAAATATAATCAACTTGCTTTCTGGCCAGTCCGACGAGGCTCTGAGCCGTCACAGTGGAGCCGCCACACAGCACTCCGGTGGAGCTCGAACTCAGATACTTTGCGTATGTCAAGAGCAGCAAGCTCGTCGATGTAACATATTGCATATTGCCCGTGCTGCCTTTGTAAAGAAGCCCACCTGCAAAACTCATTAATTATTTCAATTACTTCTCTTAAGCTTAATAAATCAATTCCCACCTGCAAAACTCATTAATTATTTCAATTACTTCTCTTAAGCTTAGTACATCAATTCCCACCTGCAAACTCGTTAATTATTTCAATTACTTCTCTTAAGCTCAATAAATCAATTCCCACCTGCAAAACTCGTTAATTATTTCAATTACTTCTCTTAAGCTTAATAAATCAATTTGTAAAATCATGAGTGCTTCTTCTTCAGACCTGGGGTGTACTGAGCCTGGGAACCTGGTGATCCGGGCATTAGTGAACATATATAACTGTCAGCGTGTGCTTTATATAGTTCAAGTTCTTGAGTGTTCTTCTGCAAGAATTCCTGTCACAGTATTTGTGTATGTTATCAGTATTGAGTCATAATTATATAAAGAAAAAGAAAGGAAACTAATTAAGCTGGATAATTAAGTACCTGGGAGAGCAATACTTTAGTTCCTCCTCGCTTGTCATCCCAACCAAAGGAGAAGGTACCATCATCTGCCTCTAACACGTCGCTGTTGGACAGTAAATAATTCATATAGGAACTAATTCCAGAGGCTTTGTAAATCCATGTCGCACCCCACAGAAGCTCGTCCTGATCACAGCGCACATATATGTATGTGTGTGTGTGTTAGGAAATGTTTGAGACAGAGTTGGGTTAAGACTTGAGAGGGAGACGACGCATGTATTTATTATTGAACTTACATGATATCCAGAGTAAGAACAATAGAATGGACAGACCACGGAATTAAGGGACTTACTATAAGATCCCCTGTAACGTTCTGCAAAATCAAAAACCTGAAAAGTGTGTCACGTGCATGCAAATGACGGAGAATTGGAAGTATGGGATACCAAATCCCATGTTGAGTAGAACGAAATATTCAACGCGATATTTGAGTGGGTTGGTTATTCCACCTCAATAGTTATAGCTTTTGGGATAGAATTCCAATCCCACTTAAGTACCCATCAGGAAAAAATAAAAAATAAATGAGAAGGTGAGTGTTGATATTTACTTGAATGGCTGCTTGAAGTAGTTTGGAGGAATATGCAGGGTCGGATTGTTTGAAGACTAAAGAAGAAGCTGCTAATGCAGCAGCAGTTTCAGCTGCTACATCTGATCCTGGGCTTTGAGGGTTCACCATGTACACGTCTCTAGGAGTGTCCATGTCTTCAGGCCTTTGCCAACACTTGTGATCCGTGTTAGCCTCTCCCACCTACGCAGCAACAATTCCATGTAATTTAATTTTCCATCACTTTGTTCATTGTTAACAATCTATCTACGTATTTGGTTGGTAACTGAGTACAATGGTGAAGTGTAATTCATGTAATTAACCCCACCTAGTAGATAAGGTTTCTCATTCACTTACTTGGACATATAATGTTTCAGGAGTGGAAGTGGCTGCTTTAAGCAGATAATCAGTGCCCCATCTGATAGCAGCTCTGGCATTTTCAATCTGATCCTGCATTGAGCTTCCAAACTCAATCACACTCCATGCCAATAAAGTAGTGGTAAATGCCATTGGAAGCCCAAACTTAACGTTGTCCCCAGCATCATAATAACCACCCACCAAGTCCACCTGAACCATCGAATCAGATGTGTCTTAGTTTCACAATACAAATCACCAAGTTTTTTGACTCGAGAGACCAGAAAATAGAAAGAATATATATATAGAGACACAGACGTGGTAGGGAGAGCCATCGGACAAGGCGGAATCACCCCTCCAAGTGAGGTTCTGGTTGGAGGGTAATTTGCCAGAACGCTGGCCTTCAAAGAAGAGAATGGATTTCTGAAGAGCGTCACGGTATTGCTGGGAAGAGAATGCTGCGTGAGCAGGTGAAGCAGAGAGGATTACGAAGCAGAGGCATAGGTACATCGACATTGTGGAGGGAGAGGAAGAAGCAGAAGCAGACAATGTCAGTGAATAAATTACAAGTACATGGTTTGCAGAGAATATTCCTATTCATGAGATGGTGATGAGGAATTGAATTAATTGAATTTATAGGAAGTTGGAAAGGCAGATAAAATCCTAAAGGCTTAAATTAGTTCCCTACTTTGTGACCCTGAACAATCGGGTATACCACATTACTTCAATTCGATTTTGGTATGACAGAAGAGGTAAAGCAAAGATTATTTAGTACTCTTATGATGTTGTTTTTGTTCAATTATTCGCTAAAATAATTTGGCGTGACAATAGAGGTAAACGAGTGCCCCGTCCCACAAGAATTGTAAATGTTCTCTTAAATTATTATTACCAGACCCATTCTTCTTCTGTTTCGTTTTGAAAAATAATTCTTTTTTACGAAACAACTTCGAAAGAAGCCATCAGTAATGGATGGTAAGGGCTTGGCTTCTCATTGCTTGGGCTGCCAAAAAAAATTTGGTAGCTTGTAGGCCGAACACTTCCATGTTTTAGTCTATAAAACCGTTTTTTTCCATTTTTGCTCTTTTTAATCATGGAGGTACTTTTTCTTCTAAGCTTGCCTATTTTTAATGTCACATAGGCCATAGCTGAAACTTGAAAGAAAGAGCCTCAATTCATTGCCACATGGAGTATGCTGCGAGTCCACACCCATATATTATTGGGTGCCCATATCTCAATTATTTCTGATGCTCATAGGCCACGCCTCCTTCATTATTCTGAAGGACGTCAAGTCATATTATCAAACACCAAAAG